TTGTGAGCTGGAGCGGTCTCGTCCCTGCCAATGCTGTGTCCCCTGCATGGTCAGCTACTCCCAGAAGTTAAGTTCTGAAACAGATAAGCTTGTTAAGTAGATCACAGAAGTGGAACAGGACCAAGAAGTGAACAAAAGTCCAGTGCCCCATAAGGTGGAAAGAATTACCGCACAGACCCCACATAGTGGGTGGTGACAGATTATAACCCCATTTCACTTGAGCGTAGAGGATTACAATAGAAAAACACATGAGGACTTGCATGTCAGTAGCAGCTCCCAGAGAGACTTGAGAGAGGCAGCACAGGTGTCTGAAGGGACAGCAGCACTCTTGATGTGAGGACTGTCAAAGCTTTACTCTCTTTGCTGAAGGCCTCTACTTGGCTTACAGGAATAATCAGCTGTGTCTTGGAATTCTCTGAGAAGACTTAAGAGGTAGAAGTTTCATCCTAACCTCACTGGGGTGGGCGTGCTCAGTAGCGCCTGGTGAAGTCCCTTCCATGTAAGCTATAACTGACCTGAAGAGGATCTTTCCAGGAATGCCCTCCTCAAGATTCCTGATGTTGGAATTTTGTTAGCAGTGCCTTCGTCCTTGGAACTCCTTTTGCAGCTCCCCGTCGAGCACAGTGGTGTCTGCCTCAGGGCCTTTTAAAGCCATCTACACAAGCGTGGAGTCCACATCACGGGATCCGTACTCTACAGAATCTTGCCATTCCCAGAAATATTCTCAGCTGTTTTGTGAGTCTGCGAAGGTCAAACATATGTAACATAGCTTCCCCTCTTTGACTGAGAGAGCACAGCTTTTTGCAGTCAGATCACATGCTGGGGAATCTACCTCCAGTTTAGATCCCTGAGATTTGGGAAGTTCTGGATCCTCACTAGCCCAGACTTTGAGTTGAGTGGGATACAGAAGAACTGTCCCATACGCAAAGGTCTTAGCAACACAGCAAGATGCATTGAACACGGCGTCTTCTCCGTATCCCTGAGGCCTTTAACCACTCAGTACTCTGTATTCCACCCTATGTTATACATACAAGACAGGACTATGAGAGAGAGACCATGGGTCGAAGAGTTCACATGGTAGACACTTATAAACTTTAAGGAATTGCCTAAGAATACAGGCAATGGCATTTAGCAATTAGACATAAATGAACCCATGACACCTAAGAGTGTAACACACTACACAAGGGAAATCTTTGGGAACGAGTTTTACCATTAATGCTAATGCTGTAGCTCTCTATAGACAGAGGTCCTGCAGGGGAAGTAGCACACAGTGACCACTGCTGTTGCTATAACAATTAACCATCTAATGCAGGAATCAGCCAGCACCAGGCTCCTACATGAGCTTCCTAGGCTATGGAAGCCTTTTGAGTCCTCAAACTCTGTCACAATTCAGACAGGCCACAAGCAGAGTGGAAGTTCTCTCCTCCCTTCAGAGAAAAGTACAGCCTTCTTTGATGACCACTTCTTTCCACTGGGGTCTCGCCCAGGGAGGTCACAGCATGTAGGAATGCTTTTCTGCGCGAGTGTCCCGGGTTTCCATGCCTGAACTGCTCTCCTGGCCTTTTCAGCCAGACCAGGATGCCTCGAGGGCTGACTAGGGGGTCACTGAGCGCTACTTCCAGCACCTGCCACTCTAGGAGTCTGTGGGACAGACTCCTTCCCACGTTGGAGCATTTACCTCCTCTTTAATCCTATTCATTAATAGCAGTAAATACTTAATCCTACTGGACAGGATCACTTTGTCACTTTTGCATCTAGCCCAAGGGGATTTGGGACCCCACTGCTAGGTTTAAACTGTACCCTTAGAAGGAGGTCCGCAGGAATCCACGCAGGAATACACAGCTTTACAGTTCCTTTGTAGGACCTGAGAAGACATAAACAGACACAGCTCTCTGCGAGCTTAATTATCCTTAAGCATTTGACTTGGATGCATTGCATTAGTTGGAATTCCTTTAACACTGGACCAAGCGATGTTTGTTCTGTAATACAGATACTACGGATTTCTATATAGATCACTCTAACAATCAGGTGTTCATTATATGCCAGACCCTGAGGGCCACCAACGTGGGGCAGAGTCTGTTGCCATCTTCTTCATGCTGGGGTGGAGCATCTGCCATGTTTGATGCTCCACCTCCCTGATGCTAACATGTTTCCAGGCAACCAAATCAGTTCTCCAACCCTGGATAACTGAAAGCAAGCTCGATTGAAAATCAAAAGCCCAGGAACAGAGCTGAAATTCTCAGAAACCTTGTAAGCATCTGAGTTCTCCTGTTTCTGTTTTGAATACAAATTCTACAAGCCATGGAGTACCTGTGGCTTAGTCACTGCCCAGGCAGGGCTTCCTCCTCCCTCGGGAAATGCGCCTGGATGGGGGGAGACCCTATGAGTTCTAACAGGCGTTCTGGGACTTGCTTGGTCGCTGCATGCACCCGAGCGGGTCGAACCTGGGGAGAGGAGGGTCCAGGGTTTGGGATCCCACCTCTGCTTCCTCACTCTCCACCACTCCCCCGGTGCATATATGCCAGGGCGCCCAACTTGGGCTTCCCTGGAGCGCCAGAAGGCCCAGCCCGCAGTGCTGTAGCAGCACGTGCTCTCCACCCCTTGCCCCACACCCTGTGTCTCCCAGCTAGGACCAGGCACCCAGGGCAGCCGCACTTCCCCATCAGAGCTCCCGCCCCCAGTCACGATCCCAGCATGGAGCGCAGATAATGGACAGGGTGAAAGATGGACAGATAAGCAACGTTAGAACATGTGGGCAGACCTCCCTAGAATGGGACGGTATTTCCTCTCTCCTAGCAGAGGGGGCCTGGGGCTGGTACACGGTGAGGGGCCCTAGAATGGGACGAGTGTACCATCTTCAACTAGCAGAGAGGGACTGGGGGCCTGACCACAGACGATGCCTCCTCATCTAGCAGGGAGGGCCCCACCCTCGCTCACCGTATACGTTGAGGTCCCTGTTTGGGCACCAGCTGCGGGCTTGTCCTGTGAGGCCACACACTGTGGGATGGTGGGGCAACAGCGTTCTTCCACAAGCACCAGAGACAAGATTGGCGATCGTGCCCGTTTTATTAATGATCAAGCACACCTCTTAAAGTGCAAGCAGAAAGGGCATAGCTAGTTCAGGGCAACACTAATTGATAGGCTAGAGCCGATGTTGGCTCTGCTAGGCTCCTCCAATCAGTGTGAAGGTCACATAGGCTAGAGCCTTCTTCATGGGCCAGGGCCACACCCGGGAGCAGTTTCCCTGATGGGCAATGACAGGGCCCTATACCAGGCAGCAGGGGCGGGGAAATGTGCCTGTGGCTCCTGCCACCTGCCAGCAGTCTGGCTAACCTCCTGCACAAGCTAGGCAGACAATCCAAAAGCTAGGCAGACAATCACCCACAGATAATGAAACTGGTTCCTCCCTGGACCCACTAGGGAGGCAGAAGTGTCTGATCAGGGACCTGTCCACACCTCTCCGCTTCCCTTGCTTTCCAGTGAGCAGAAGATTACCCCAAGACAGCACCCCGGGGGCAAGGTAAAGACAAGCCCTTGGCCATGGGCCAGTCATCTGGGAAGCAGAGCTGGTTGGAGGGGGCACTGTGGGGCTCAGCAGTGGTTACTGGAACGCCATAAGGTCCTGCGATGCGGTACTTACACGGCACCTGCTGACACCTGAAACACCTACCTGTCCCAGAACTGAGCCGCAGCTCAGGGGCATCTGCCTGTCGGCCGCCATGACTCATTGGCATGGTTGGGAGGGACCTGGCTGGAGCTCAGGGGCTCTGCCTTGAGGCAGGGGCAGCTTGGGTCAGAGGCCAGGCCACCGACGCTCCCCAGACAGAAGACCTGGGGCTCATGGTCTGTGTCTTTTCTGGTTCCTTCCTTTGAGTGCACACAGAGCTCCGGAGCTCCATCTGAGGGCCACTCTCAGAGCCTGAAGCTGGGCTCACACCATCCTGTCTTGTTTTCCAGCGCAAACAGGTGCACAGGATCCAGAAAGTGGGTGAAAATGATAAAGAATCATAGCAAATACCGCGGCAGCAAGAAGGTACCGTGGAGCTGAGGGCCCCTCGGGAACACTGAGAGCTGAGTTGGGGTTTGAGCAGTGCCCATTCCCATGCCAGGCACCGCCTGCCTCTCAGATGCCCAGGGGCAACTGTCCAGCCCCCAGGGACACAGGTCATGTGCACCCCTTCCCCATACACGCAGGACACTGTCCTGGTAGAAAATCTGAAGTCACTGCTGAAGACAATCCCGGATGCAGGGCAGGTGTGGTTCCAGGAGCCCTGTAGGGGGCAGTCAGTGCACGGTGCAGCCAGTGCCCCTGAGCCCTTGGCCCCCAGTCACTGTGGGTCATAAGGCCCCCATCTGGGCAGATCCTCCCTCTGCCAATACACACGGAGCCCCTGGCTTCTCCCTCCCCTGAGTGGCCACATGCACCACTCACTGGAGGCTCCTCTTTCCTGCAGTTTCATCGAAGAGGCTGTAAAGGAATCCCTGCCCAGCTGCGTGGGAAGGTGTGGGCCCTGATGCTGGTCACCCACAAGAAGGCCGAGAATCCAGGCAAATAAAGGTACAGCTCTACACTCAGCCCAAGGGGGCCCGGCCTGCTCGGGCCTGGTCAGGAGCCTGAGCCTCCGTGGTCTGGTCACTGGGCCCTCAGGAACCTCCTCCCTATCCTGCCTTCCTCTCCCCGGGTCCTCCTCAGGGCCTTCTCCACGTCTCCCCAGACCCAGCTGGGCCATCTAGGCTCCCTGCCTGGGGACTGGCCCTTCTCTCTGCTGAGCTCAGCTGGGCAGCTTGCCACAAGAACAGCACACAGGAATTGCTGGTCCATGATGGGTGGTGTCTCCCAATTTGAGATCACAATGGTGTGTTGAAGTGACTCTCTACAGGCTCCGTGCTCACAGGCCCTCCCACATCTGCTGCTGCTTTCACCTGACTTGCTCCCCCTGGCCTTGCCCTTGCCTGGAGTGGCTTGTCTAACAGTCACACTCAGCTCTCAGCTGCTTCTGGTGAGAAGGGCTGGCAATGCAGATGGCTCTCATGACGCCGGTTGCCATCAGGGAGCAGGGCCCAGCTGTGTGGCCAACCCTGTGCTCCCCGAAGTCTTGAGATTGGGGCTGGCCCTGGGAGCTGGGCCTGAGGACAGTCATTGCCCAGGGGCAACTCAAACCCAAGGGCGCTTTCCAATGTCTTGCTATTGATGGGCCCCTCCAGGAGGGGGCAGCATTCACCACTGGTCTGGGTGTAGCAGGGCCTGAGATGCAGGGAGGAGGATCTGAAGCCTGGCTGGGGTGCAGGACTGATTCTCTGCTGAGAAGTGCTGGGGGCAGGCAGGGGGAGTGCACAGGGACCTTCAGAGCCCCTGTCTCATGCAGACAATTCGGGGTCTCAGTGGCCCCTTCTGCAGGGATCCTGGGCACTGGGGGGGACGTCAGCCAGAAGAGCTGCTGTGGATTGGAGAAATTTGTGGCAATGGGGCTTTGCTGCTCCTGAGGCAGGCCCCTCCCCCTTGCCCCCGCCCTGCAGGAGATGAAAGAACAGGACAGGCTGTACCCAAACCAATTCCAGCAGATCCACTCCACTGTTACGGGGACTTTAAGAAGTCACCTGATGCTCAGAGAACGATATGGAATCAAGTGAGGCCTCGGGGCCTCAGGGCCTCAGGGGTGGGGTGAGCAAGGGTCCCTGGGACAACTGGGGTTCCTAGGAGAGACTCACATACAAACCTAGAGCAAAAATCCCTTTTGGGAAAAAAAAATGGGGCCATGGGCCTTTTTTATATCATATAAACTTTCCAAAAGACACTGTGGGAGAGGATGAAATGAACACACACAAGAGGAGACAACATTAGCAATCTATCTAATGAAGGTATTATTTCCAGACCATTCAGAGAGCCCTTCAACTCACTAACGAGGAAGCAGTGCACAGCCTCCCGGCGCCCCGGGGACACGGGCTCATAGGACCCCTTCATGAAAGCACACACAATTCACCTCCTCAACGCGTGAACACACGCTTAGTACCTGAACCACAGTGGGGCACCATGCACAGCTGTGAGAACTGGGGATCTGAAATCACGGAGGATGCTGGGTGCAGGCGTGTTACCTGTGTTACTGCTGAATCCTAAAATGGGATTCAGCGAGAGGCAGGACAAGGCTCGGGCCTGGGCTGACCCGGATGCATCTCGGGTGCATTCTGCTAAGAGAGGAAGCGTCCCTCTAAGACTACACATGCTGTGATCCACTCATACGACATCTGCAAGAGACCGTGCCCTGGGACAGAGAAGAGGACAGTGGTGGCCTAAGGAGGGGGAGTTTGGGAAGTTTTGTCACTGAGGGCCCGTGGGCAGCTCATAGGTGACGGGAGTGCTCCCTACGAGGCTGCAGTGGTGCATGGGAGGCTGACTCTCCATGGAGTGAGACCCACGGGATGGTACCTCCCTCAGTGGACGCTCTCCTGTGCAATCTGAACACACAGCGTGGGAAGTGAAACTGCACACAACTGCATCCCTGAGATGTGTGCATGTCATTGCAGGCAGCGCTCACCCACACGGTGGACCACACGCAGGTGCCCTGACGACATCACTGCTCATGAGCAGAGTGTCACAGGCCCTGTGTGTGGCTCTGCCTCACAGAGCCTCGGCAGCACAGGACGCACAGCCTCTGTCCCCTCTCTTCCAGCCAACGTGCCTTATACCAAGTGCTCATGGCCTATTCTGTTCATAATCACTTGAGTCTTCTGGGATCTTATCACAGGTGCTATCCTGGCAGTCCCTGCAGGGTGTCCTGCTCACAGAGATCCCTTTCTGGTCTGAGCAGTCTCTCTATTCCACAACTCAGAGACAGAGAGGCAGAGGCCAGGGTTACGCCCTTCTTC